ACGTTTAGAGAAATTGTTTTTCTTTTTTATCAACTAGGTAAGTGGTCTTTTAGATCCTCTGGTTGTTTTTGAATAAATAATTAAAATAAAATAAATGATTTATTTATATATTTATAACATCTGTGACATTTAACCAAAAATATCAATAATTATCATTGCGAATAAGAAAACTTACCCAATAGGATTTTTGGATCAGTAAAACAAAAATTACTAATTCAAAAATTTTTAAGTCTAGCAGCCGACAAATACTACAAACGACTAGAACGAAAATTTGGAGGAGCATAGATTAAACACAACCGATAAAAATAAAACGTTGTGACCATATATATATATTCTATATAAATGGTGATGACGTGACAACTTAAATAGATAATAGATAATATTTCAAATCTAATTGAAATGCTGGATCATGTTAAGATCATAAAAATAGATGTATAAAACTAGTTGTTTATCTGGTTAATATATGTAGAATACAGAATATTTATAAAAATCACTGCGTCACAAATAAAGAATATGTAAAGAATATATAAAGAATGTAGAATATGTTGAATACAGTTATTTGCAAACAATCCAATAATTAAATGCTAAATTTATTTTAGCCGATAAAGTTATTATTTTTATAAAAAAAATTGTTGCCGTTATTATCAGTGTCGGAGTCGAAAATTAATAAATAGATACAAATAACAGAAAAATACCGATAAATCTGTAATTGCAATCACGATTAATTCAAAACTTTGGCCCTTATATTTTGGTATGAGGTTTTCAGAAAGATTTGTTTGATTAAAAATAATACCCCAATTTGTAGTTATTAGCTTTTTAAATAAGACTTCAACAAGACGTAATTTATCAGATTCACACACACACACACACACACACACACACACACACACACACACACACACACACACACACATATGTATATATATATATATATATATATATATTAGAAATATTTTGGTTTATAACTCTAATCTAACTCTCCAGGTCAACGAATGAGGGAAGATGCATCAAAATTTTTGAATTTGTTTAAAAGAAAATATTCATAAAGATACTTATTGGATAATAATACTTATTGGATAACATGCTGAAAATTTCTATAAAGATATTTATTTATATCACATAAAAATATAAATTTGCATTTGTTGCTTAGGACTTACTAGAGCCAAAAGCTTTTAAGTTATTACTGCACCAATATTTAAGTGAAGTATACAGACACACAGATTGCCGATCTGTATGTATGGAGGGATGTTTCAACTTTCCTGATTTAACGAATGCATAACATGTCTGCTTTACGCACTTAAGTTCAAGTATGAGTGACAATAAATTATTCTAGAAAATAAAATTAATATCCTATCAACTATAATTGAAAACTCAGCACTGTTTATTGAATCGCCTGACAGATCGCCAAGCAAACCTAATAATTAACTGCTAAATCCGTTTTTAGCAGATAAAGTTTATTATTCTTATAAAAAAATTATAGACTACCCATGAGTCAATCATATGAACTAAGATCTTTTATAACTCAAAAGCGCGATTAACATAAATTCAGACCAGTCAATCTCAAAAAATGATTTTTGTTGTATTAAATTTTTCATAAAACGCCAAATTGTCAAGTTTTGATAAATCTGAAACTTCATTGGCCCATTGTATAGATTCAAAATAGAAAAGTAGCAGCATCAAAAAATCAAAATCTGTTAATAGACATTGGCAGATTGCAATGTCAACCATTTAATAAACATACACCATACTCACATACATACTGCATATATGACATCCTAAACGTAGCTTTTTGCAGGGTCGGAACTAGCTTATTTGCTAATGGGAGCAAAACTCAGTGTGCCGCTCCCGACCACGTTTTAATTATGCTACTACCGTAAGCTACATTGATCCAAATTTTGAAAGATATGAATAACTTTTTTAATTTTTTAAAACTTCTTAAACTTTGCCGCCCCTGAAATTCGCCTCCCTAGTTTCGGGCCTGTATTTTTGTGTGTATATATATATATAATATTTCGTAATAAATTAATTAATATTTTAAATCAAAAATATTTTGTCAGTGGTTTTAAATTATTTCAATTTATTGCTTTTCAACGCTATAAAAATACTAAAAATACTACACCAAGGGACATTACATCTTTCTTAATTAACAACAATCAAACATTGAGCTTAATCTGACACATGAGTAGCACCAGTTAATACCTTATGATTCCTTTTATAGTTTTAAAATATAAAGTGATACGATGTTACCCCCTAAATATATTGGGTATACAATTAATAAATGGTTATACTACAGTTCAAATCGTACAAGTCCATCCTTGTATTTCCTTTGACCATTTAGAATCATTTTAGAATCTGGAGAATCAGTAGCATACATTTAATTAAAATCTGCACTATATAAATCTGCGGTTTGTTTTATTGTAAAAGGAAATTGAACGCTCAACATCATTTTAATTTAAAATTAGCAATTTTAGGTCTTTCAATTCAACGTAGTTGTATAGAATTTTAATTTGTAACATTTTTCGAGTAACTGACAATGTTGGACTTATTTACAATTTTCAGCAAAGGTGGGATCGTGTTGTGGTGCTTCCAAGGGACTGCACAATCTCTCACTTCGTCTGTCAACGCACTGATCAAAAGCGTGATTTTACAAGTTAACAGCTGTTTTTATTTTTTCTTTGTATTTTGTTCCCATGATCAAGCATTAAATTAAATTAATGTATTAGATGTTAAATATTTATATATAAATTATAAATAAATAATTATAAATAAAATTAATTTATTAAATTTATAATAAATACCTGATACAAATACCTGACTTTAGTTTAAAGTTTAGTTTCTTTAAATTTTATACCATATTTATTTCATATTTATAAATTTACTATTAAGTCATATTCATGGTCAGACCTAAGCTAAGGCTATATTGTTTTAATTGTTAAAGGCCTAAGATAAGAAAGAATTTGGGCAGCAAATTCTATGTTGAGATGCTATGAGGAGTGACATCCGCACACCAAAGTGGACATTTTCAGGTGATGTAAAATTGTAAATAAGTGAAAATCCATGCCAGATTTGACATTCTCAGAATGATATTATAAAATATAAATAAAAAAGCATAAGAATCTCAACGAATTCAAAGTTGAAATGCTGTTATATTGTAAAGAATTAAAACCACGCACCAAGGAGGACGACGTCGTTATGTGATACATATAGAAATCCATATCTTACTCCTAATCTCGACTAAGCTCTTAGTTGTTACATGAATGTGAATGCAGTCAGGAAAGAGAAATTTTTTGATAAGAAGAAATAAAAAGAAAAATTCAATACCATCATATCATGTGCTGGGCTGTATTTGCTCAATGTTATAACATGGGAAAGTTTAAAAAAAACGATTGATAGGATTGAGATGCATTTCCATATTTTTATATTCGCTTCACGTTTAATCATCTTAGTTAACTTTACACATTCCATTAACTGACCACTGTTAAAGCCAACAATAAACAACCTTTAATAATAATAGTAATGATAATAATAATGTGAAAGATAATATTAATTAATCATAATAACAATATGATGACAAGAGCGATAAGTAAATGCAATGTATTGAAAATAATTATGTGTTATTATTAAAAGGAGAGGGGAGGCTTGGGCTCGTTCACACATGAATCACTCTCCATGAAGTACAAGCTGGACAACGAGTTTGAATTAGTTTTTGTGGTAAGGTTTTTTATTTTGTTTCAATTTTTTATTTTTTCATCTCACAATTTATCATTATATAGAGCTTTTTTATTTTAATTTTTTGAGATCATTTCATCAATTTTGTATATGTACTACAAACTAAATTTTTTTTATCTTTCAAAATGCTTGAACGAATCAATTAAACCTTCAAAAATAAATATTCAACCTGGTCTTTTTCTTTAGATTGGCTATCAGAATTTCCTGCAGCTTTCATACGTGGACAAGTTTTTGAATGACATTCAGATGGAATTTAGGAACAGGTACAAAGACGAACTGCACAAAAACTTGCTGTGCCTCAATCTTGATGGCTTCACAGACTTATTCCATCAAAAGTTGAAGGCCTGCGAAAAAAGTGCTCAAACAGAAAAGACGAGGTTTGTGTTTGAGAGACATGTGGTGGGTGGAATGGAAGGAAGTCTGTGGTGGGTGGAATGTGGAGTATGTTTGCTATTGCTGAAATTGGGGAAGAATTGTTGTAGGTGGGATGTGAAGTGATGGCAAGCACACAGTAATTGCACTAACGAAGATCTCTAAATTCATACTAAACCTGCCAATGCAAAAAATATAGATAGGCAGTAGGGAGAAGAAGTGGATCATGCTGATTTAATGGACCATGACATTAAGATATAAAATTAAATAAAGTGAATAAAATTGATAATCCTATCTCCAGTCAAATTTTTGATCAATTTTTTCCAGGACAATTAAATTTATTAACCTACTTGCACTTACTGCCTTTTAATTTAATTTCATTTCACCTTTTCATTTTCTTTCCTTCTCATTCGAGATGTTCCATGACATGACCACCCAGCTACTGGATTAATGTTTATTTATATCTTTTTAGCACATTTAACAGTACAGAGCGTGGTTGTGTCCTCTAGTTGCAACATTCCACGATGCTGACGGCACTGAATTTTCCTTATTTCCCTTGTCTTGTTATTTTGTGTACCAGGATCAAGCTAATTGTTCGATGTGGTTAATATTTTGTTGCATTAGGTTTTTTTGTTTTTTTTGGGCAATGCAATAAATATTGATTTGGATAGATCTTCAGGAATTTCGCCGCTGTTGTTTATCTCATTCAAAATTTCTGTCACTTTTTTCAATGCCAAATTCATCAAGACATTTAATTTCTTCAACAACTGTCCCATCTTGACCTGGCGCTTTATTTGATTTCATTTTGGAAAGATTGGCAAGAACTTCAGATCTAAGTATCGTTGGTTCTTCTACATCTTTTTTAATAGGAGGCATCTAGTTAACAAAGCAAAAAAAGTATCTGAACAACACAAAAGAAACTATGGAAAGTCATAAATGTTTTAGAAATATATATAAAATACATATATATTATTTCAATATATTATTGTTAGTATTTTTTTAATTACTGTTGTCGTTATTGTTGTTGTTACAGCTGCTATTATTTTCCTGATCAAAACTAAATGTTGCATCATAAAGGGTGATGAAGACGTTCGACGAATCTGTGAAGTCTCAGAAAACTGTAGCCTCGATGATTGAGAAGAAAAAAGATGATAAGAAGACCGCTCCTAAAAAAGGTTTGTCTATTGTATATTATCATCTCGCATCATTTTGTTGAATCATTATGTTGCATCAACATGTTGCAATGTCATGTTAATCGTCATGTTGCATCAACATGTTGCAACATCATGTTAATTGTCATCTTGTTGCATTAATATGCTTCACCCGCATGTTGTATCATCTTTATTTTGCTGCATCATCACGTTGCATCATCTTGTTGCATCATCTTCTTGTTGCATCGTCATGTTGCATCATCATCTTGCCTCATCACGTTGCATCATCCTGTTGCGTCATCATGTTGATCGTCATCGTGTTTGAGTATATTAAGAAGGGTTATTGAGTCGATGAAAAAAAATTTTCAACTAACTGGATGCTTTTGAAGTATTTTTAATTGAAAATTTTGTCAAAAATGGCCATCACGATCCAAATTCACTAAAAATCAATTGAAAACATTGGTTGCATGGGAATCAAAATGTTTATATAAATTGAAATTGACAATACACATGAGCTTTTGAGCTTGTTTTTTATTTATTAGTGCCTCAAGACGTGGCTGAAACGAAGACAGTGCCACACTTAGCTGATAACAAACTTCCAAACAGTTTCTGTATTTTGTCTTCATTGCAGTCAAATATGAAAATCCAAGTTTGCACAGATAAGTAGAAGGGAAAGGAAGAAGGGTTTTGTTGTTTCGTCAGTGAGCTCTGGGTATTCCGGCTTGATGCTGATCCAGAAAACGGAAATTTTCAAACTTCATTTTTGGGCCTTGGTCGGCAGCAAGCTCCAAAATTTTATCTTCCAACTTAACAGTCAAATTTTCCTTATGTTCAGCAGACGGATTCCTGATCTATGTCTTTCCTATTCGTGGAACATCCTCTGTAGGGAAAAAATTCAGACCGTTCAGATAAGCTGGACAGATGCTCGATGATTGCGGTTTCTAGCAATAACCTCGTTAACTCAGTTTTTCAGGGTTTTTATTAACTTTTCTCTGAACATGTTTAACCAAAGATTGAATATTTAAGCAGGATAGTTAATTGATCACGCGTTGAATATTAATTATAGTCATATGCATATGCATTCGTGAGCTTGCTTACCTTTAAACTCAACTACTAGTAAAAATAATGACTTTCTCAACTTCGTTGGTGTCCAAACTTTGAATTTTCTCATTAATTTTCAAAATTTTTTGAACTTCACCGCGGACTGGCGCCGGTCCGCGGTCCACTACTTTGAGAAGCACTGTACTAATAGACATCTCGCGCCATTTATTTATGAACCATTTAACGACGATGATCTACGGTCTGTCATGAGACGTTGCTCTTTGTCAAGTTTAGACTCCACCCACACTACTACGTGATTTTCTTATTGTCGTTTTTGTATAGTATAATAAATTATAATAACATTTCTGAAATTATAATCCATTTATTTATTGACCGCAGTCGCTGCAGAACCTTTGAAGCCTTTAGCCACGCCTCCTGCCTCCCCACCAACCAATCAGATCAATGGAGTCAGCAGTCCCAGTAAACTTAAGAAGTTCAGCAAGATGAACGCTGAGAAGAAGTTGGATGTTGTTGTGTTGATGTTTTTCTGCTTTCCTCTGTTGTTGTTTGTGATAGGTTTGCTTCGTCGTGTTTTGCTTATGTTGTTTGTTATTTGTTCGTTATTTGTTGTGCTGTTGTGGTGAGTTAAGTATTTTTGATCGAATGTTGTTTGTTGTTACATGCTGTTCGTTGTTCATTTCAAACATTGCGGCTCTGTTGTTTTTGCTCATCGGACGCATTTAAAAGCTGAAGTGAGTGCACTCCAGCGACACTTACGTTAATGAATGTTTATGAAAGAAGGGTTGTGAAATAACATTTTTTTTTAATTCACTCAATCAATATTAAATTATATTCCCACTATTGTTATGAACTTGTGCAACTTGACTATGACGCCATAATCGTTCCGTCCATTGTGACGTCATACGAAAATAAACATCTGCAAATAAATTTCGTTGATGCCAAACATGCGACACTTTGAACGTGGTCAGATCTTCTTCGACGGATTCGAAGGTCGCAGGCAAGAAGGTGAAGGAGGGAAGGACTTGGGGGAACGGTGGGAGCATGAAGGACGCCAAGGACCTGGATTTCAGTGACGTCACGCAGAACGGTGATGATGCTAACAAAGCCGTTGTGGATGTGGATGTTA